GTGCTTTGACCTCCAATATCTGCACTCTATCCTTGAAAAGAAGAAGGAAATCTACAAAGGAAAGGAGAAGGTACCTACAACCTCACCAGAGAGACCTGTCAAGGCTCTAGAAGATCATGAGAGGGATGCCTTTGATGCCTGGCTGATGGAAAAGAAAAGGAGGGAGTCTCTAATCAAGATGAAACCGATTCCAGGTACAGAGGGAGAGCCATCAACTGCCAATGACCTATCTCTGGCAATGATGAACCTTATCAGAGAATGGAGAGACTCTCAGTTTGAAGAAACTGTTCTTGAGGTAATTCCTAACTCTCCTGTCCCAATCCCATCACCTCCCAAATCCCCCTCACCTAAATCAGTCACACCAACCACAACTCCACCCCCATCTCCTCCCCAACCTCAGCAAATCCCATCTCCAACACCCAAGAAATCCTCCACACCAAAACAACCCTCACCTTGCCATCAGGTAACCCCCATCAGAAGCCGATCACCCTCACCTCCTCCTCCATCATATCATCAGAGAACCCCTATCCCTCAGACTTCACCCCATCAGAGCCCCAACCATCAGAAATCCAAATCTCCCTCTCCTCAGCAGAAGCCTACATCTAACTGTCCCTCCCCTCAGTATTCTGCTGCCTCAGCACAAAAGAGAGAGCCAGTTGTAAGGATTCTTTCCTCAACTGAAGATAATGATGGGTTTCTCACAGCTTCAATGGCTGGTGATCTTCAATCTGCAAAGAGAAAGACTCCTACTCCTCCTCTATCTCCTGATCAACCTCAAACTCAACCCCAACCTCAAATCAATCAAGTACCTCAGCCAGAACCACCCAAAGCTGTCCTCATTCCCTTCCAGGAATTTGTGGAATCAGCAGAGGACTTTGGAGATCAGATGGTGGCTGGACTGAACAAGCTACTTGTACTAAATCAGAAGCATGATGCTCATCTGGATTTGGTACAGTACAACATTGAGTCAGGACTTGAGAAAATCGCCAACACCCTCTCACAACTGTCGACAACCTTCTTCAGCTACATGAAGACATCCAATGAGAAGGTTGATGACATTGCTTCCGAGGTTGCCAGTCTGCACACGGTCCTGTTCTCACAATCTCAGACTCTCTCTGCTCAAGACAAGGCTATTCAAGACCTATCTGATGCTGTGGATGATCTTCAATGGTCCTCTGATAAGCATGCTGAGCAGCTCACAGATGTAGAGGACATCTGCAAAACCTTGAAGGAATTTGACATCAAATTGATAAACAGTGGAAAGGACAGGGATCATAAGTTGACCCTCCTTGAAGCTACTACCAAGGATATTCAGTCGGCTGTGGACAAGCAAAAGGAGCTGATAGAAGGGCTGGCTTCTGTAACTCAGACTCTGCCAGGTACCCTTGAAGCTATAAAAGAGAACAATGCTACAGAATTCTCGAAAATTGGACTCCTACTTGGCGATCTTGTTGATGCCAAAAAGGGGGAAGATAGCAGAGAACCTGTCCCACTTCCCAGAGAAACAGAAGGTCCAAGCTCCAGAGCCATTAACCCTGCTAGGTACTTTGAAAGAGCAAGGCAAAAGAGGCTAGCTGCTGGTATTCAAAGACCTCCTCCTCCTCGGTCTAAGAAAGGGAAGAAGACAGTCTCTACTTTCACTTTGGCCCAATGGCTCAACAGTGACTTGGCTAAACCTGATGCTGCTCAATTCAGAGAGATGAAGAAGCATATGACCCCTACTCAACAAGAGAATCTCATTCAGGATAAAGATGGGCTAATAATAATCAACCATGGTGGGTCTATGCAAGAAGCAGAAGACTGGTGGCGTTTGAAAGTAATCTCTGGCAAGGACCTATCTGAAGCCATCAGAAACTATCTAGATTGCCAGCTTGAACCTGCCTGGTCAGAATATCAGAATCCCAGGAATCTTGCTACAATCAGAGCTAGGGTCAATGCTGATCTGAAGGAAATTGAGGCAAAGGAAGCTGATCTAGAAGAGGAAGATATCTAAACTCTATCCCCTTGTTGCTTTAAATATCTTTCATTTATAAGATAACCAGCTTGCCTCTAATTTGCATGGCAATTTCAAATTATCTCTCTATTGCATTCTGATTATCTATGCTCTGATATCTTGTGTTATTTCTTATTTTATCTGATTGATTGTATCTTACTCTTACTATTCTCCTATGCCAAGTGCCCACCAAGTTTTTAAATGAAAGTTTATTTTTTTCTCTTATTTTCTTTATGGTGAAAGGCACTTCTCTGGAAATAGTTTAAGGGTTTTGGCATCATCAAAAAGGGGGAAATTGTAAGGAATAAATGTAATTAGATTTTGATGATGCTATAGGATTAGAAAGTTAGAGTACCCCCAAATTAGATCTCATGTATTAAACTTTTCAATTGTAAGTATTAGTGTAGTCGACGATCACAGTTGCTCTATTTTGGATCAGATCAGGAGTGCATCAGAACTGCTCGACCAGACTTGCTCTATGAGAACTACTCCATCAGAGTTCTCTTGCCAGAAGTCCATCAGAGGTGTATCATGAGAGTTGCTGATAAGACTGGACATCTGATAGCCGATGAGATCTACAGATCAGAAGTACTATCAGAGTCAGAGTTCAGTCAGAGATCAGAAGACCATCAGAACTCAACTCATCAGATAGCCATCAGAATCCAACATATCAGAAGAACCTGATCAGAGCTCGACAAACACTTAGAGATTTTCAAGCAACATCCAACAGCTCTGAATTCAACGGGTAAAAACATCCAACGGCTACAAGACTGTGCATGAAAGGAAAGCATTTAATGCACATTAAAAGAGCCTGATACGCTGAAGGATTGATTGCAAATGATTGACCAAGAAATCCGGGAAGATATATTTTAAAAATAGAAACCTTCCAAAAACGGCGGTCAAGTCAACTGTACGCGCATTTAATGCAGTTGTCTCCTCCTCCAACGGGCAGACAACCTCAGTATATAAGCTACACACCGAAGAACTGGAAAACAACTTTGCTACAACTTTTGTTCATCATCATTCAAGCTCTCTTGAGTTTAAAATTCTACAACCTTCAACAAGACAAGCTTACGGTGGGAAGATTCAAACTCCAAATCTTTCATCCCCAACAAACAAGCAAAGTTCATCCTGCTCTTCAACACTTCAAGAACTTCATCAAACATCCTTTGTAACGAAGCAAGTTGGAGGAAAAACTCTGTTTTTCAAAGGATCTTCTGAAAAGAAGGGCGTCCAAGTAACTGCAGTAGTGAAGTGGTGATACTTCCGGGAAGCTGAGTGAAAGGACCAGCCATCAGGACGTGGAATTGCATCCTGGGTGGAAGCTAGACTTGAAGAAGGCGTGGAGAACTTCTTAAGTGCTAGGAACTAAGCTTTGTAACCGATCTACTTCAAAGCTAGTGGAACAGTGGACTAGAGGAACGAGTTGTTCCTTGAACCACTATAAAATATCCGGTGTCATTTACTTTACTGTAATTTATATTTCTGCACTTAGGATATTAACTGAGTAACTCTAAGACTTGGAATCTGTGTTCAGCAGATCTTGTTTTCAGAGTTATCAGAAAGGCATCTGCCTTAGTGTTTCTGAGGCTACCCGGACAGATCAGAATCCGCTGCCAAGGCCAGTTCTGATATCAGAACCAGCCTTTCTCTGTCATCAGAATCAGACCTTCTCTGATAAGTCACTTCGGACTTAGAGAAAAGTTGAAAAACGAACCAGTCTATTCACCCCCCCCCCCCCCTCTAGACTGGTTACCATTTTAAACGGGACCAACACGTATATTTACAACTATTACTCCCTCCGTTCTAAGATTGTCCCGGACACTATTTACTTGGTCAACACAAATTACTTTTAATCTCTTACTTTATATATCATTTTTTTTTATCAAATTTGGTTCTTGTTTTTGCGATTTTGTAAAAACTTTAATGTAGTTTCCGGATATGTAACTTTATTTCTAAAAATAGTTTGAATGCGGACAAGGATCTGTTTGCTTTATTGTCAGTCAAACGTCATAAACCGAATTGTTTCAAACTTAGTGGAATGGAGATAGTAGTTGTTTACGAGAAAATTAATACTTCGTACTAGTATTATAATTACTACAAGTGTGGGAGTTATTACGTACGATAGTATATTTTATATAATATTGAAATCATATTTTTGTCATTTCTTCTAATTTTCAACCATTTTCTCTTAATTTCACATTTGTTCTACAATTACTATCCAAAAATTTTATGGATAGTAATTAGTGTAGAACAAGAAAGAGAGAGGAGGGGCGACGGGAAACCCTAGCCGTCTCCTCCTCTTCTTCTCTTCTTTTCTTCTCTTCTTTTCTTCTCTTCTTTTGATTTCAAGCATGGAAAAAGTTTCGTTTAATCAGTGTTTTCAGTTCTATCTATACGTTTATTTCCTAGCGTTGTCTAGAGATGTTATTTTCGGTGGTGCAGTGTCGCTCGCCAGATCTATGTTCCCCACCATCATCGATCGGGTGTTCTTGTGTGCTAGTAAGAGGTTTGTATTGGCTTCTTTATCAATCATGAATCAGGATTTCTGCTGCATCGATATAGAGGCTGATCGCTCCCCTCCTGAACCACCGCTGATCCAGGAAGATGACATTGGATAAATTGCTTTCTTTCCGGTGGTTGGTCAAACCGGAACAATCTCTGCACTTGGCTCCTTACCGGTGGCTGGAAAAACCGGCGAGTTCAATAATTCCTTTTTGGTGGCTGGTCAAGTCGAACCCATTTCGAGTAGCATGAGCAGTCACAATGCGGTACGAGTCTACATTGTTGCAGAGTTAGCGAACATGAGTACTTTTATATAGCGTCTTTGTTCTTTGTCTCACCATAGTGTAATATTGAACGCTATGATTGTAATGCTTCGACTTTTAGTTGTTATGTTTCTTGTTAAGATCTAATTATCAATAAAATGATTATTTGATTTTCAAAAAAATTAGTGTAGAACAAATGGATAAAAGAAAAGGAAAAATTCCATTTTAGCCTTCTAGGCGGGGGAGTAGAACTACGGTCAACGTATTTAACAGGTTGTGATGAAAGAATGAAAGATGAAACTGATAACTGAGTATATGCAAATGATAAGAGAATCAAGAAAAGGAAGAGGGATGGCACAAATTCCTGGTAAAAACAGAGCAAATGTATCGAGGAAGAAAGGATGGACTCTCCTAAATTGCCGATTCAGGTTTCCAGTCGATGGTCAGTGAAACGTACGGTCCCTTTCAGACAACCTCAATTTTGTTTGTGTCCGTGGGGTCCTTACCTCCGCAATTTACTTTGCTATGCTCCCCCATTTTCTTCCCTTTCATTTTTCATCGTCTCTTTTCCATCAACAATTCTTCCCTTCTTCTCACTCTACTCATAACTGCATCCGACATGATGTTTGATATAATGATCTTTCAAGAACTGGCCTTTACTGTGGCACTATCTGTAGTGATCTATTTCATCTTCTGCAAATTCAATTCATGGGTTTCCCAGGAAAGGGGCAAGATTCAGTCTTTCTGCTGTGTAGATGCTAGTGAAAAGGCAGTTTTGTGCGAGTGCAAAGATGGGAAGCTGGAATTCAAGGATTTAGTGACGGATAGTAATGATTTCATTGGTGATCATCTCGAAGTAGAAGATGGGGAAGTCAAGAAAAAAGAAGTTTTATCTCCTGTCGGTGGGGATGGTGGAACACCACACGAAGTATTTGATGAAAGTCTTATTAGAAGAAAGGTTCAAGAAATTGAGGTAGAGCGTAATCTTGAGGATGATCATCCAGAAATCCAGGTTGAACTTGGGGAGATTGAAGGATCATCAAAAATGAATGAAGATGGGGTTGTGGAGGGAAGGGCTAAGGATGAGATATTAAGAGCAGGCAGCACGGATGGGGAGGAGGGGCTGTTTGATGATTGGGAGGGGATTGAGAGAACAGATTTGGAGAAGGAATTTAGTAGTGCAGTGGTGTTTGTGGATTCAAAAGGCAATACTGACCGACTTGTGGACGACGTGAAGATGCAGCTTTATGGCCTTCACAAGGTTGCTACAGAGGGTCCTTGTTGCACACCTCAGCCAATGGCATTCAAGCTCTCGGCTCGTGCCAAATGGTACTGCTCATATACAAAACCTTTCTATGCTGAGGTTTAATGACTGCTGTAGTTCGTTAGTAGGATTTCTCATGATATTTCCTGTGTTTTTTTTCTTAGGATTTCTGACAATCTGTTTTAAAAACAAGCTGGGAATGTTTAGGCCGGTCAGACGTTAATGCCTTTTTAGATTATACTTTTAAACGTTCTAAAAGGTGGTAGGCATGACAGGATTAGCCGATTAGGCAAGGTGAATTTGGGGGAAACGAATGTAGGTAGACAAGGAAAACGAATGTGAGGACAGTTGTTACATCAACTACTTAAGTACTGTAAAGAGATTCATGGAAATCTATTGGCTGAACTGCGTTTTGCCAGTGTGAATATTTAGTTCTCTTAGTTATCGTTAGATTAGCTTTTGGTAAACATTAAGGCTATGTTTGGATTTACCTCGAAAATGCAAAGAAAAACGAAATAAGACAATTAAAGTTATTTTCTTATGTTTTCATTTACCTCGAAAGTTGCTGAGGGAAATGGCAGTGGCTGGCGTTTTTAATGTCTTTTCACATGTTTCTATTGCTTAGCATTTATATAATAGAAATAAATGAATAAAAAAGCACTGAAACAGATATTAAAAATAAACCTGAGTTTGAAAAAATGTTTATTTTTCTCAACATTTTCATACCTTTCAAATTTCTCCTATATTTTGATCCATATTTTCTTTCATAGTATTCATGTCTTCTAAACCAATCCTAAAGTATATATTACTGCTAATTAAATTTTGTAACTACTAGGAATGCTTGGCAGAAGCTAGGTGACATTAGCCAGGACGTGGCAATGGAGCAATATATAGCACTTCTGTCAAGAAGCATAACCGATTGGAAGGTAGACAATTTTTCTCCTTACTGAATCCCCCCTCCATTCATTTAGGCTTGTTTGGTAGTCTTAACTGGTCAGCAGGATAAGTATCTTTTGTCCTACAGCCTACTTACCGAGTTGAGAGGTGTGGAGAAGAGGGTGGGAGGAATAGGAGAGGAAGACCCAAATATACGTGGATTAGAGGAGTCACGAGTGATATGCTTTTTCTTGGAGTGCATATGCATTTTATTCGTGTGGTAGTTTGATCTCTTATCATCTTTTTTTTCCTTTTATCTTCTTTATCTTTTCTTGTGTTTTTTATCCTTCCAACATTTGCAATGGAGCCAAAAGACTCACTATTTTTGGCTTGAGAGTATGATGGAATAAAGCAAAATGGTTCACTAAACTGTCTGTGTTTCTTTATTATGGAACAGCAGTCAGTCCATGCAATTTTCGACTCGATTTTCACTTAGGATCATCCGGAAACAGTCTATTTGTGCTTTAGTGTAGGGGTAAGATTGCGTACATCCGACCCCTTACTCCACCATAGGTGGGAGCCTTTGCGGTACTGGGTAATGATGATGATGATCTTTTTTATTATGTATATATATTCTTTTTATCCTTTTAATCTTATCATTTTTATGTATATTTTATCTCTATTTTATCTTTTTTTTATTATCCTTTTATCAGTCCTTATCTTTTCATCTTTCATTTCCTTGTGGCGCCAACTCCAAAATCTTTTATGACTAAGGCTTGGATGTTGTGTTGGTGCTGTGGCCTACTTACCGAACTCACCCTTCTCTGTTTTCTGCATATTGTTCATCTGTTGAAAACTTGTATTCCTTGAAATCATTTTTATTGCATGAAAGTCTAACTTTCTTTTTGAAGAATTAAAGTTGTTTCGAGAGTTAGACACTCCCTTAAGTGTCTGTTACTGTTGTTTCTTAATGTCATGAAACATGTCACATAGCATTCTATTGTGTTTGGTCATTGTGGGCTACCAATGTTGTGCATTACAGAATACAGAGTTTTAATTCTCTTCATGGCTAATTTAGCATTCCCAAGTGAACCTGAGAAAAGACATGACATTCTCTTTACAACTTGCAATACATTTAAATATTATAGTATAGCTCTGGTTGTAGTTATCCAGATAAATGTTGTTAGACCCGTCTTATAATATTCATTTCTAATACATTATTAATGTTTAGCCTCTGTTTGTTTGGATGGTCATACTCCAAGGTAAGAAGAAAAGAATCTCCAATTCTCCATTAATTAGGAATGAACGACCAAATGAAGTAGTTGTTTGGTCTTCAACTATTAAAATGATTAAAATATGCAATGGAAATCGACCATAACAACAGAATGCTGTTGAGGATATTACCTTCTTATCAAATCCTTGAACAGGATGAACAATGAAAGCTAGATTCATGGAAAATGCTGCCCCCGGGAACTCCAGATCAGTTGGAGAACATTCATTTCATCATCTTAGGATTGCAAGTACAAAATGTATGGGTATCTATGTCTGTTTCTAGTGTATATTCAAAAGGGATATGCTGTGGTAAGTTTATGTAAATAATTCAGGTTACTGTGTATTATCTAAAATGCATTATCATGCATTTTATATTTTTTATAACAGTGTAGGAATAAGTGACCAGAAATGGTGGATAACAAAATAGATGATTCTTTTTTATTGGAATCCCTTTAGGCCATTAAAAGTACAAATATCATCCATTTAATAACCCTTCCCCAAATCTTATATACTTCACTCACGAGAGACAGTTTTTCCCTTTTTGGGTTCATCACATAGATCAACAGGATTATGTCACAAACCTGAAACAACATTGCAATACATCAATTGTGGGTGTCTTCAGAATATACTCTGTATGATAAGTTGACGGCAACTACAACTTTTAATCGAGAAACATATGGATCTAGTGACCTTTAAAATAGTAAGGTTATTTTATATTGCATCTGTACGTTTTTTTTAACTCCAGGGGGCGTATGGGGAGGGGCCTGGGGGCCTAGAGTAATCAGGGGTGAAACTCACTCCATTGAGTTTCGAAGCCGAGACCCCCCGTAAGGAAGAGAGTCGGCGACCAGATGGGCTGGACCTGGGCTGGACCGCTTCTTCATATTGCATCTGTACTTGAAAATCTAAAAATAGAATTAACTTGACATAGTGCAATGAGTATGCTTATGGGACTAGTAACCAAAGCATGTAATTCAGTCCAATACCATTGAACAACCGAAGATGTTGCACCAGCCCAAAGCATCAGTGCTAGCCCTGTCAACTGGTCAAGCTTTGATCCAAGCCCATTCGGAGGAGAATCCGGCATGAATGGTCCAATGGTTATGGATTGTTCACGGCCTTGAGCAACTGGATAATGATAATTGATGGTAATGAAATACTCTGGAATTTTAACTTGTTCAACAATGGTTAGTGATACAGAATTAGCCACAGCTAGGGATGGACCAGGCAAGCTTCAGGCCTAAGGATTTCAAGCCCGGTACCGGCCTGGGCTTGTACCGGTACTGGGTCGGGCCGGGCCCAAACAGTACTGGGCCGGGCTTCGAGACGGGACTGGGCATTCAATTAAAAAGTAGTGCAGTCGGCGACCGGGCCCAAAAAATGAGCCCGAAGCCCACCCTTAATGCCACGGGTCAGACCTATACAGTACTGGGCCTAGGTCGGCCGACCTGTCCCGGTGCATCCTAACAACAGCCCCTTTTGTTACAAATATTGAAGAGTTTGGGGTGACTATCTATATATGTGAAAGAGATAAATACAAGAGATTAACAAATACAGTATTCTAAAATAATTTGATCGCGATATACCGAGAGTATCAATATGAAAGTAGCAACACTGCAACATCAAGGTAAATAAGAAGACACGGTGATTAAAAGTTCAAACTAGCACAAAACGATTAATGAATCTTTTCAATGTAAGTAGATTGCTACTTAGCACCAATCAACAAGAAAATAAAGAAACAAAGAAATTGTACTAGGCAAGTGAACACCAGCATAAACAAATCTTACACCTAAAAGGACAATATGAAAGCATTTGCAGTGTTCCTCTACATGATCAATACATTGTCTTTGATGTACTACTAATTCTGCTTTTCTAAATTTTCAAACTCCGCCAGGGATGGACTCGGTTCAAATTCCTTGACAGGATGGATAAAGAACTTGATCAACTACTCAGATTTTAATTCCAGGCTTGAATCACTATTGAATATTGGTTCACACCGATTCTGGTTTCGATTTGGCCAATATGGTACCAGAATCAAATGGTTTGTTTTGCTTCTAGTTCTTTTAAGGCTAAAACTATGGATGGGCATACAGTTACCAAACCGAACTAAATCGAGCCGAAGCTGTATCATATGCGATTTTGTTTGAGTTTGGTAGTATTTCTTCCCAACCGTATTAAACCGAACTAAATCAAAACCGAACATAACTATAGAAATTCAATAAAAGTTTCATAGGTTATTAAAAATAACAAATTCAAATTGAACCAAACTTAACTAAACCAAACTAAACCAAAAAAATGGTTTGGCTTTTGTATGGTAATAATTCTTCCAATCCGTTCCAAAATCAAAACCAAACCGAAACCGATAAATCCAAAACCGATATGCCCACCCCTAGACCCTAGCTAAAACTCTAACCGGATCATAATCGATTTTCTTGTCAAGATTTCAATTCCTCTATCTCCTACTCAAAGCTGGCCCAAGTCCATCCTAACTTCCCACAATCCCACATAATCCCTGCGTTGCATATTCCATTATTTACCCTTCTTATTGCGTGTTCAAATTGCAATCACATCTTATAATCCAACTACATGATTTCAATATTATCAATTGGAGCATTCATTGTATAGTACAAGCATACATTTTTGTATGTGTGTATAAGGGATACAAACATACAAAAATGTATGCTTGTACTATGCAATCGCATTCTATCACTTCATGTTTACTACAAAATGTTGCACTTTTATGTTTAAAGGTTTATTGTTGCACCGTGACAAAAACATTTGATTATTTATCAAAATCTTACCGTCTTTTTGCTCCAAGTTCATTTACTATTGGCATACTTCAACTCTTCAAGTCTTTATTAATCACTTGGATCTCAAATTTGATACATCATACACAATTACACTCATTTTTCACCCACATGTGGGTGTGTCAGTGTGTGGGTATATATGTATCATGTACTCCGTATGTAAAAGAACTACTTTTTCAATACATACTTCACATGCAAAATGTATACATGAGAATTACTACTCCTCAATCCAAAAGGAAAGATCACTTATCCAAGGAGTCCCAACCCAATAATATGATGGAAGAGTAAATCATAATATGATCTCAAATGGTTTGAGTGAAGTGAATTAGGTCATAATGCCACAACCAACCACCACTCAGTCACTCTTGAGCTATCCAAGCGGATTTGATTATTACTCTGTACTCAACACAATTGCTTCACTCAGTCACTCTTGAGCTATCCATGCACACTCAGTCACTCTTGAGCTATCCATGCGGATTTGATTATTACTCTGTACGTATAATGTTGAAATCAACAAGACATTCTTAAAAATCAAAAGTCGTGATATTCCTACAAAATCTTTTACTCAGACGTCACTTTCTAAACACCCTATCATGTACAACCCTAACAAATATGATATCACTTCAATAATTTAACGTCATTCTGAAATCTTTTGACAAGAATAGACAAGCATATACAACTACATACATAAGGATATGGTTACATGATCTTTCGACAGTGTTATATTAATTTGTACATGGCAACTATTTGTTCGGTATTAAAAAGTTATCTAACTTTTCTAACCCCAAATAAATAGACATCATTTATGAATGTAGAAAAAACATTTATTTCTATCCTTGCTCATTAGGAGAAATTATGAAAGACATCGTAAGGCTACATTTGTATATATACAAAGGGACAACCATAGATTGGTAACCCAGAGTTTTAATTTCCCTTTAGTCTTCCTGTCAGATGTTTGCCCTTGCACTGCCTCTAGACTCTAAAAGAACCCCACACCCCCAATCTACTTCTGCCTTTCTACTTTCTAGTATATGTGTGTCGCTTTAATTAGTTGAAGAAAAAGCCAAATGTATAATGAATATCTCAGTCTGAATAGGAACTGAGAGCAGCGACCACAGACCCCGTAGTCTCAAAAGTTGAAGAAACATCAGCATAGCCTTTCCAGGATGTGTTCACCTTGAGGGATGGGTACAACCATCTCTTCGCAGAAGAAACAAAGGCGTTAGGGTCAGACTCTAGAATGGCTTCCCAATCCACTTGCACGCCTTCCGGGATGCTTCCAGTAAACTCCATGTTAGCCGCTAGGAAGAGACCAAGCAAAACCACAAACCCAACAACTGCACTTCCTCTTGAAAGTGGCATGAGATTATACCTGATAATGTCATATCTTAATGAGTTGATACTCATTTTCATCCCTTGACTATTACACACTTTGGTACTAGACTATGTAGTTTAGACCCAGTTTAGGGAGTGTTTGCAACTGCTTCTGCTTAAAAAAAGGCACTTTTGGAAGTGATTTTGGAAAAAGTGATTAGTAGTAAAAGTTGATAGTGTTTGAGAAAAAAGTGATTTTGAAAAGTAAAAGTTGGTAGTGTTTGGTAAAATAAGTGCTTTTGTTTAATAGAAAAAGTAAAAAACACTTTTCACACGAAAGCCGAGAAACACTTTTTTAAGTAGAAGTTGTCATTTTAAAACACTCTTTTTAGCTTTTTTAAGACAAGAGCCGAGAAGCGCTTTTTTTAAGCGGTTGCAAACACTCCCTTAGTCCTAATGCAAATTTTGCACTAATTAAGAACGATGTTTTCATATACTGAGCAGTGAGCACCAAAATTCGGTCCAAGTTACATAATTGAGGGTGGCTAAGTTGACTTAAGGTTTAGTGAATGTACAAAAATACCCTTCTAAATAAAGCAAAATAATGCTTGAGGATTGGGTATTAAATCTAATGACATTCTTAGAATGTAAATTCTGAAATGGGAAAAAAAGTCAGCCAAATGTTTTACCAGTAGAACGTCATTCTCAAAATTGCATCCCTGACACTTTCTAGCACTTCCAAGTCAGTTGAGCCATATGTCTCCCCACTGTAAGCATCACATAGTGCCTGCATATCCATTTCCATATCAGCAACCACATGTACTATGCATGAATCTGTAGTGCTTTCAGCTTTTAATTGACACAATAAATTTCATCCAGACCCCAATGTCTAACATCATCAATGTTTTAAGAGCTTCCTTAATGTGGAAATGTTAGAGGGGATATTAAATCTAATATCGCCATGTAATATCTAGAACCGATGTAGATAGGATACTGGCGATGATGAGGAACTGAGGGGATAGAGATTTTTAACACCCACATATTAACACCATGGTGCGGCCAAGAAAATATATTTTGGAGAGTATGTATGAACATTGAGCAAAAACACAAGAAACTATGTGGACAACAGTCAGGGCATAAAGTTTTGACGGGTAACTGGATAATGTAAATTTGGAAAAAGCACATAGGTGGGCCAGGTGTGCAGGGAAAGCATAGTGTCTTGGTGGGATATATCTGGGATTTCTAGAATAAAGCTAATATGTGAACATGGAATGTCAAAATAAGAAGAAAAAAAATAGACTACACTTTTCGGCTTAGAGATTCAGGAAATATTCCGACACCACAGTTATTAGCAGGATAGTACACTTCAAATCCTTT